CAATGAATCTACAGCTGCAGTTGATCACTATGTGTTACATTTTTTTTTTTACAAGGACATTGATTTACCAGTGAATTCACAATTATTTTCACATAAACTGTAGTGGTACAGTACAGACATTGTAAAATAGATTTGCTTTTAAAGTAGCTTTTAAAAATTTAACTGGACTTGTCTCTTATAATGCCAGTTACTGTACATGATCGAGGTATACAGTGACATTTTTCAAGAACTGATCCATATTCAGTACAAATGCCACAATATATTCTGTATGATACAGTATATGATGGCCACATAGAAGCCCTTGCCAGTAATATACGAGGCAAATAATTTCCTGAAACCAGACAAGCTTGTTGCAACCATGCAAATTGCTAATTATTTTATATTATAAAGATCATCTGGGAGATCCAGATGGACAGAAAGACTATATATATAATTTGATGGGTCCCATTGCATACATTTTCATATGGGTCTTCCTCTCTCAGTAATTGCTGGTGAAATTAAAAAGATGGAAGAGGCCTTCTTTGCCCACTCTGACTCTACTTGACTTCAAAACCACAGAGTGAAATATTTTTTTCATCCTTTGAACCTTGGTCTCAAGGAGTATGGAAAATGTTTGTTATTTATGTATAGGCTTTTCTAATTAGAGAAGCAAAGTACTTGTAACACGTTTCTTTCAAACACGTTTGACAGAGTGTAAATGTGGCTGGGCTCATTATATTTTTCATTGAAAAGGTTTCTCATCAGTGATAATTACAGCTCTGCTATTTTTGTGGCTTCTGAACAGTCACTTAATTGTTTAGACTAATTTAATATCTAGCATGATTCATCATTAAGGGAAAAAACTTTTGCATATGTATTTTTTTCAGATGAGAGCTACCATAATAAATAGAAACTGTTGTTGTCTCTACTCTTCAAATTATCATGCTGCCCTTACTTGCTTTTCAACTTATTAGTCTTATATGCTCTTTAATGACTATGCATTGAATTGTTCAGCATAGTCCCTGATTGAAAATCATATAAGCATATTTTCTTGCTTCTGGTGTAATTTTTCTTTCATAATGATGTAACTTTAATTTGTCTGTGATATTTATACTTTATTATTACTTTACTTTATTCTTTCTTGTTTTGCTCAAAAAGACAGTACACATATTAAGTTTCCTCATTCATTTGAAAATGTGTCAGAAAAGTTCACATTACAGAAAAAAAGTACTCAATTAAGCCGCAAAAACAGTTGAACAGGTAAAGGTTTATTCCATTCTGAAAAGAGAAGAAAAGAAACACAATGTTTTGGCTGTGGAGCCTTCTTCAGGTGTGACACTTGTTCCTTTGCAGCCGACACATGCTGACCTACTGTACTTGCACTACTTAAGCAAAAACCAATGTCTGCCTGTTTGGCCCAGAACATTTGTGTGACACTTTGAAATACGGGGGAAAAAATTAAGATGGAGTGAATTTGTTCACATTTCTGTCAAAGAAAAACAGGTTGTAACAGACAACAAGCAGAACTGACAGATCTACAGTAGGTTTTTACTCAAAAGTGCATTTAATCATTTGCAGTGGTCACAGTGACATAATGTATTGTGCATGTCTAAAAGAATATTGTGGTATTGCCAGAAGTAGTCAAAAGTTTGGATGTTATCTGTATACATTATGTATTTTCTAATGCAGTTTGAAATTCACAAAGTGAATAACTCTGTTGCATAAAAGGTGTTGTTTGCGTCCAGGAGCTGACAAAACTCACTTCGATCTTAACAATCCAGTCATCCTCTAGGTAAAAAAAAAAAGCATTGAATATACAGTAATTGTTGACTGACCTTGTAATAGTAATATACTATGTAATAGTTTTACATACACATACAGAATCTACATTAGTTACATGTACAGTGATATATGTAAGGGTAGTGGATATTATTCATTTTTATAGCATGAGTGGAGTGGCATGATCAGACAATTGTTTTTAACTTTTAATTGCTGCAATAATGACCTCTTGTTGTGCATGTAAAGTGGAAGTTGAAACCCAAACAGTAAATCTGCTGGAAAAAATAAGATATATTAACAGAAAATAATTTTACTAGTCTTTACCTGAATTGAACAACAATAAATGGTATATCTATTTTTTATGAGTGAATGAAATAAGCATTTTCAAATATTAAATTACAGTATGTACTTCAGGGGTATTAACGTTGTTTGCATTTCCTGCATTTTTTAGCAAACACTTCTTGTGCAGCGGAATGATTAGACTCCTGTGCAATGTTTATTAATACAATGGACTGGTTTGTAGTATATAACTGTCATCCAGGGAAAACAATGAGTTATGATTATAAGAGGTAAGAATTATTGTTTCATAACATAAACACGTCATACAAAAAGAATGTTAAGATGTACTTCTGGTAAGATGTTAAATGTCTCATTAAAATGAAGTTCCCATTAATTATGTTTGACAAGCTGCAATTTGTGAATGTATGCTTTATATTCATTTTCAAAAGGTATGGTATATTCATAAAGGCTGTTCACTAGTTGATTTTTGCCAGACTGTATTATTTTCATGTTAAATCTAATTTAAAATCATCTTAGTGCTGACTTTGAACCAGAGACAATTTTTTTTCATAACATTGCATTTAAGATGTCTGTGGAGTTAACCTATTAGTCAGAAATCCTTCACAGCTATGAATGTATATTTCTGTTTTTTTTATAATTATATGTACAGTATTTCAAAGGAAAATAAAGTAAGCACAAGGATTCAGAGATTGAGTAAGCACCAGAAAACGAGGCATTTCATTCAATGTTACATAAAAGTAAAAGATCACTTTTAAACAGATACAGATAGGCTCTTAGCAGGCAGAAATGAACAATGCCATAGTCACCCTGTTTATGCAGAGATTGCAAATTCTTTCCTTCTCTGGTGTTATGGTTCTGGTGCAGCTAACTGCCATTTATAAGAGCTCTAGCTTAAAAACATTTGCGTTAGCAATTCATTCTATGCCCTTACAATAACAGTCTTTGGGTGAATGTGCTTCTTCTCTAGACACATCTAGGTCACGTTTTAAAACTGATTTGTTTAGACCGCATTTCTCTTATCAGAAAAAAAATGTGAGAATGTTGAGACATGTCCTGCATTCGTACTAAATATTGTATTAGAAAGACCTGATATTCTTCCCTTAACAACAACAGAAATGTAATGGGAGCTGCTTTGTTAACCCATATTATTGGGTACAATGACTTTTAATTGGATTATACAGGTTAGAGAACAAAAGAATGTTCTTTAAATTCTTCATGATACTACAGGTAGTGGACAAAATGGAAACCCCATGTAAAGTCATTTAATAGGGTGTTGAGCAGCCATGTACAACCAGTATGACCTGTGCCTGTATGTGCTGTGGCGTAGGGTCTATGTCCACTAGAGAGTCAATCACCACATGCCTGGTTGATGGAGGTGGAAAACACTTTCTCAGACGTTCCAGAATATCCCATGAAAACCTGATTTGTTTCAGGTCTGCTGACGAAGAAGGCCTTGACATCAAAATCATGCTCATCCACCCACACTTGCTCTGTGGGTCCCAGTGTCATCCTATAAGACACTCCTGGCAGGAAAGAAACATTGCAACATGGGGTGAAGACGATCACCAAGTACTATTACATTGTGATTGGCATTTTCCTTTATAAGGTATAAGGCAATGCACTCAAATGCCAGGACAATATGACTCACAACATTAGTGAACCACCAGAAGCTTTTACTTTTGGGACCAAGCACTCAGTGCTTTTGTGTCTTTCTTGGTTGACCGTTTGTGATTAAATTGGCTGCTAGTCCCCTGAATAAAATTAGCAGTTAGTTGTTCTGCAGTTGCTCGCCTGTTTTGCCTTGCATTTCTGCTCACTGCTGCTCTGTGTTGATGATATCATTCCAGTGAAGGTCCATGCTGACATTACCATCAGAAAGTTGTAATGTCTTGGTTACTGAATCTCCTGCCAAACATGCCCCAGCATTGTCCTCTCATTCAAAGTCACTGAGGTCTCCTTTAGCTCCCATACCAGCCAGAAACATGGGCAAACAGGTCTGTTAAATATTTTACACGTGCTCTTAAGCATGCTGGGATGTTATCTGCTTAATTAAAGTATGAGCACACCTTGTGGAAGCCCTTGCTTTCAATATACTGGTTGTCTCTCATTTACCCAGGTTTTTCCCTTTTTTGTCCACTAGCTGTATAAACAGTAGGCTTTTAACAAAGGCCTTTTACTGCTACTGGTGTGTTATTGAATGACTCGTGCCGTGATTATTCTAAGTGCAAATTTGGTCTTTCAAGTCAGACAGTTGCAGCTATGCTTAATGCATCTTGAAAGAATACTCTGGAAATGAAACTGCATCCTAACAAGACATATCAATGCTGTATGAGTCATGCATCCCCGAGCTGCATTTCCAAACAGCCTACACATTTACAGATGAAAAATTCTAGTATATTCTGTGTTGGCATTAAAGCAAAACCGCTGTTTTCATCAAGCACATCAAGCATGTGTAAATAACAGCTGAAGTGATCATGGTAGTTGTTAGATTATTGAAACTAAAGATTCTTTTCCCCCAATGTAACATTTTTTGGAATAAATTGTTTTTCTTGTTCTTGATGTTGTTTATTCAAAAAGACATCTTATTGTTTTCTGGAAGACTCCTATTTTTCCATTTGTTAAATGTGGTATAGGGACTCCAGATTAACAGGGCTTCTTCTCAGCAATTAAAATAATGTGTTCGCCAAAGCAAATACATGTAAAGCTACTGTTTTTGAAAGGTGGATAGCACCACTATGGAATATTACATTTGTATGTACATATTGCAAATGTAAGAAAAAGTTGTAAAAAGAATATTGAACCAAGAATATTAATGTTTCTAATAATATTGGTAACTATGAATCTAAGAAGTATTTAATAGCATGGATACATAGGTACGTAAGAATTCAATGAAATCTTTGTTGGTATCCTGTAAACAAGCCTGATCTGCTGCCTTTTCCTAGGTGGCACCCAGCGACTGCCTCGTGCAATCGGAGCGTCCCTAGCCAAGGAGCTCATCTTCTCGGGGCGAGTGGTGGATGGAGATGAGGCCAAATCCCTGGGACTCGTGAACCACTCAGTGGAGCAGAACAAGGCGGGAGACGCTGCCTACAGGAAAGCACTAGACCTGGCGCGAGAATTCATCCCTCAGGTAAAGCGCTTTCTTTCGTGTGAATCCCGCCTTCTTCAACATTAAAGCTTCCCAGACTGCGCCTTGGGCTGAGTCAGCACAGCACACGCTTTTATTTCAAGATATGTACCATTGTTTCTCTGTTCAGAGCAGGATTAACTAGCATCTCTTTCCACTCGTCAAGAACAGTGGTTTTCCTTCATACTGTAGATCAAGCACAGTGGTATGTTTCAACCTACAGTAAACATGTTTGGTTTTTAGAGCAAACATCAATCTGCTTTGCTAGATAAGGAATTACACACAAAACACTTTAAGATTAAAGACTAAATATCTTTTAATGCCTCTAAGGGCTTATTTAAGAAACTTATATTTCCAAATCTTTGCTTGAACTCTGTTAATTTACTTCGTATAACTCAGTTTTAAATAGAACTAATTGCATTCTATTTTCTGTACTGTTTAAAGTGCTGGGAAATGTAACATATTTGTATTCCAGTATTAGATTATTGTACTATAGTACTGTGCACTCAGCCATTGCACTTGTATCTTTTGCTTTATAACAGGTACAGTACATCATTTTTATTTAATCTGCTATGTCTAAAAGTTTGTAGTGCAAAGCTTGTGCACTGAAAAACAATTATTTATCTGACAAAGAAAATAATGAATTGCATTGATACTATGGGTCACTAGAAAGTGCAGTTTATTTTTAGTTTCTTTAAGGTAATACTGTGCCATATATTTTAAAGTATATATGCCATATATATGTAACGTATAAATAACACATGTAGTGATGGCCTGACCTTTGAGTGTGGTGTGAAACCCGTTTTTAAAGAGAGAACAGAAAATATAAAGAATTGTGAAAAAGTGTCAAAAGTGACTTATTAGCATCTTAATAATCATGGCTCGGTGCTTCATAGTAGATGTTGCAAATATCACTTATTAACATATGCAAATTCAGTATATTAATAAAACATTGACAGAAAATGCTACAAAAAAAAAATCTTAATCCTGACCATATCCTGAACCGTTATCCTGGCCCTAACTCAAGGGTTATTTCCATAAGGTAGATGGCTCCCTCTGTAGTGCCTCATTAATGCATTTACAGCTGATTATTAGTTTAAAAGGTGTAATTTTGCAACCCACAACCCATTCCATTTAATGGGTCATTAGCGATCGCATGATACTGGCCAATAAGAATAAGTGATCCCGGTGTCCTAAATAAAATTATACGCAGGATTTACACAATGTGGCCTACCTAAAATTCCTCCTTAGGTCAATTGGTGTGCAATGGTACTTCTGGTGCATGATGATGGATTTCTTATTATAGAATGAATTCGTATAATTATACTGATATAATTACTAATTTGAATTATGCATTATTATTTAATTATGAATTCTATTTTTTTTTTCTTAGCTAGCCTTTGAGAAACATAACAGATTATTTAAAAATGAACTGTTTAAGAAATGTCTGCCTTGTTGTTCTGTGTGTAGAGAAATATAGTACAGTACATACGAGTTCAACTACTCTAGAGTAGACCCTGCTGAACTGATGTGATCTCATAATAAGAACTGAGCTCTTTCATTCAGTAACTAATCAAAACCTAAACTGGTATCTAGATCATAGTAAGAAGTAAAAGTACAGGGGGAAAAACAGCTTCAGTCCTTTTTCCTTGTTTGTGAAGTACTTTGTGTTTATTTAACAGTTAACCTTGTTTCTCAATTACAGGGACCCATAGCAGTCAGAATGGCTAAACTTGCCATTAATCAGGGGATTGAGGTAAGATTTTGACACAGAACTCTTGTTAATTTTATACATCATCTCCCATCTCATCAATGCACTTTAAATGCACTCTGGCAGCCATAGTGCGCCAGAACTCTCACCACACATCAGCTATCAGTGGGGAGGAGAGCAGAGTAATGAAGCCAATTCATAGATGGGGATTATTAGGAGGCCATGATTGTTAAGGGCCAATGGGAAATTTGGCCAGCTTGCTGGGGTTACACCCCTACTCTTCGAGAAATGCCCCGGGATTTTTAATGACCACAGTGAGTCAGGACCTCGATTTTACATTTCATCCGAAGGAAGGTGCCTGTTTTACAGTAGAGTGTCCCCGTCACTATACTGGGGCATTAGGACCCACATGGACTGCAGGGGAGCGATCCCTGCTGGCCCCACTAACACCTCTTTCCCAGGGGGTCTCCCATCCAGGTACTGACCAGGCTCAGACCTGCTTACTTCAGTGGGTTGCCAGTTGTTAGTTGCAGAGTGATATGGCTGTCATATACAACATGTTGTTAATCATTTCTGTGGCATTGTAGGAATCAAATGGGATGACCGTGTTTAGCTTCTTGTAAATCTTTGCTGTGTATAGCAGGGATAGTTATCCCTGGTCTTGGAGAGCCATAATTCCACAGTGTTTATACAGCAACTCAACTTCTAATGGTATGGAATGAATTACATTTGAAAACCTGCGTTTAGATTCATGTATTTTTTGCATGAAATCCTGAACATCAAGCAACTTTCCAAAACAAGAGTTTTTAAATACAAGTTTTAAATAACTAAGTTAAATTAAAAATTGCATTTATATACACATTTATGGATTATTATGAGTTAATTATAAACCTGTTAGATTTTGTTTGTTTAGTATCAACATTGCTTACCAGTGGTATGTTGCTCTAAATGTTTTAAACTTTTTAAAGTGATGTTGGAAAAAGAGTGAAAAATAAAATAGGCAGATATATCCCATTCTCTTTTCTAAAGATTTTGCAGATATGACTGTTGCACTGTTCAATTTATAATCTGGCTGTATGCACAATTAGAAAAGAGAGAAGCGCATTCAACTAGTCATGTTCATTTGGGACTTTGTACATTTGTACAAACAAACCTTGATATAAAATAAGCAAATTTTGTATTGATGGTTTAAGAAGTGTCAGCAAATCTTTACAATTATGCAATTAGAAGTTAAGACTATTATTATTTAAAGACTTAATTTAATTTAAGATATTAAATTTCCTGATAAATTGTGGAAGAATACCAATCTTAAGAATATCTTGGAGAAGAATATTATCTTGGTGTGTGATTTTGAAGGTGATTGTTACACCTGAGGTAATTTAGGATTGCTATTACAAGGCGCTGGACACTTTAATTTGATTATTTTTCAAAAATTATATATTTTTTCCACTAATATGTTGTGGAGTAGGATGTGTAGATTTTAATTCATATTTATTCCAGTGTCTTACGCAGAAAAAGGTTGTGAACTTTCTATAAGCACTTTAGTTCATAATTTCAGGTGTATTTGTTGAGCAAATCTCTTAAATACGTACAGTATGTTCCATTCTTCATTTAAATATCTTTATAAGCAGAAATAGCTTAAACAATCTGACATTCATAATAGCAGATCATATTTAACTTTGACCTAAATTGACGATCCAGGACAAAACAATATATTGTAACAACAAAAAGCAGATACAGTATGCGCAGTAGGCAGTTTACAATGATTGATTAATGAATTTAATGCTGTATTTCAGTATGTTTTCACTAATAAGCAGTGCTTAATGATCTCTAAGATTGTTAGATTTTTAATTTTTACAAATTGCTTCTGGTTGCAGCAGCTCCATATGCAGCACATTATATTTACAAAAAACACATTTTCTGAAAAAAACATCATTATGAAACTCAACAAAAAACAAACTGTTGCATGAGCCTGGGAACCTGTGAATAACATATGGATGTATGGCAGTTGAATCACTAGGGTGTCCAGCTGATCCAGTGTAGGGCCAATGTTTCAGCAATTTTCATTCCTGTTCTTGATGAGAACTAATCCAGCTAGGTTAACAGGATTAATGTAACAGCTACTCCCAGTTCTTTAGGTGATTCTGATTAAATGAGAGCAATAAAACCTGCAAACACACTGGCCAGGACCACTCAAGTTCAACACCAATAACATAACATACTGAATGCTCACTTATTCCCTTTGTAAAATCAAGAAAGTTTCCATCCCACGTACTGATAGACCAGCTGTATTTGGAGTTTAATTTTAGATATTCACCTCCCTAATTTGATGAAGTGCTTCTGGCAGCTACAGCTGAGATTTATTTTTTTTCTTTTATGGCAATAACTTTTAACTTATACAGTAGTTTATAAAATGTGCATGGCTTATATTAAAATATGTATACTGTTTAGTGAATTTCTAGTTCTATTTTAAAAAATGCAGAAATTCAGAAACTTCTCTGTCAGTACAGTAGCCATTAGAAACTGTGTTCTCTTTACCTGACCAGACTTGATAGTCTCTACTGTAATAAAGACCATGAATTAATTTATCGGGCCTCCTCTTTTTCAGCATGCGACACTGACAAAAGTGAACAATGACAAAAGCATGGACATATCATCAATGTTCTTATTGTGTCTTGGTCCTAAAGGTTTCTTCTGTGTTTTTATTAGTATCTTTTGGTATACTACTGCTGTTCCTGTGGTACCGAACAAATGTGGTAACTCTTTTTCCATAGAAGTTCGATAAAAAAATAAAAAAGAATGTTACTTTTTTATAAGTAACTTTTTTATTCTTAAATGGCTTCAGTCTTCTAGTTTCTGCTATTGTCTCTGCTGTCCATTAGGGACAGTATCATTCATTTTGCTTTGTAGTTTCCAGACTTTCTCTTTTATTGTTATTAAGTTCTATTTCCTCTGCAGCATTTGTAGGATGGAATTTTATTTGAAGAATAAGCAGTTTCTTTTTGTGTTTTTTAATGCAATTTTAGGGCTCCCTACTGGGTCGTAATCAGAGGGGCACAAAAGTCACTGAATGGAAACATTCAGATTTTTTCAGTTGATCACACAAAAGCCTTTAAGAACAGTCTGCCTCCCTTAAGTCGGTAGCACATCCTCTGCTCTCCAAAATAAACCCTTGTCCTGTGAAATTTTAATGTAGATTTTTTCATTACCATCTTCCTAGGTTACAAAGCAGTTCAGGAAAACCCTAGATTTTCCAAGTTCTCTAGGTGGTAATGGCACACTGGTACTGGTCACCTGTGCATATGCAGTCACTTTGAACTATAAAATGTTACCATGAGACCAGTTCAAATATGGCTAAGACTGCCAACTAGTGAACTCAGATCTATCTATGTCTATTACTTGACTAAGCAGAGAAGAAACTTACCTTTTATTGTGTTACCTGCTGGCAATGCTAATTGAATTCTGTGACAGTCTACTGTACTTGTGTCATGGTAAACTTTTCTTTTAGCCTGATTTGCTCACAGTCTCAACCTCAGCCCTTTGTTGAAAATGCTTCGATAATCTTTTGCACTTATGGCATATATGGTTCAGTGTTGCACAAGCACATGCCATATGCTGGGTGGCACGGTGTCAAAGTGGTTAGCATGCTTCCTTGCAGTGCTTGGGCCTTAGGCTCAAGTGCTGGGGTGATATCGGCATGATTTGTATGTTCTCCCCATATTTGCCTGAATTTTCTCCAGGTGCTCTGGTTTCCTTCCACAGGCCAAAGTCAAATACTGTAGGTTAATTGGCTTCAGGGAAAATAAGCACTAGTTCAGTATGTGTGTGTGTATGTGCGCGCCCTGTGATGGGTCTGACCAGGGTATATCCCACCACGAGCCCATTGCTTGCCAGGATAGACTCCAGCTTCCCTGCAACCTTCTGTTGGATAAAGTGGTTAGAAGATGGATGGATGAAGATGTTTTTTTCCCCGCAGTGAATGTCAAAACAACTGAAAAATGTAATGCCACTTATAGTCAATACCTTAATGTTTGCGTTATGATTTAATTTTATGATACTGTACATCTTTTATGATGTATTTTTTCAGAAGATGATGAAACTACAGTACATAATATCTGTCTACAACCTACATTCTCATTTCCATGAAGAGTAAAAATATGGTGTTTGTAGGGTTGCATTTTATATTTATATTGAAAATTGAGGTCAATCTGTGTCATTTCTATTTGGTCATTCATTATACTGTACATTCTAACAAGCACCAAAATAAATAAAAGAACACCAGAGAGCTCGTGTTTGACTTTTATGTGGGAGTTTTTAAATTTCAGTAATGTTATTTTTTTCTCTTTTAGGTTGACTTGGCAACAGGTTTAGCAATTGAAGAAGCATGTTATGCTCAGGTACCTGAGATCAGGTTTTATATTTGTATTTACTTTTTCAAAGCCTTTTTCTGCCCAAAAATACAATGTCTTGTAAAAGTATTCCAACACTTTCTTTGGTATCTTATTTTATGAAATTACAAAATTACTGCATGTGTGCACTTTTTTTTAAACTTGATCTCCTATTCAGATCCTGAATGCTCAAATTAAAAAATCCATCCTATAGCATTATGCCCCAATGACAATACTTGACTAAAGGGATGGTTTTGACTATGTTTTTAGCCAAATGCTTTGCATTTATACTAAAAGTTACAATGTACACCACAAAACTTTTTGCCACGTGGTTACATTATCATGGAATATTTTGATGCAAACTCATATGCATGGGTCTTCCACTCTGCTGTATAGCCGAGCTTTGTGGAATGACTGGGATATTGTTGATTCATGGTTATTTCCTACCTTCTCGGTCATTTATGTCTATAACTCTTTCAAAGCCATTATTGACCCGTTTGGAAGGACAACCAGATCTTGTCAGTGTCTGGGTAGTATGATAAACTTATACGCTTATTAATTATTTGTTTTGCCATGTACAATTCCATGTCATGAGATTCTTCATTGCTCTTCTTTTGATCTGTACCTTTCTACAGCTTTATCCCTTCATTATTTTGAAAGCTGCTGTGTCTTCATAATTGAAGTAGGTTTATAATTCAGAACTTTACTGAGAGATCTTACAGAGACAGGTGCATTTATTCTGAAATAATGTGTGCATCTGTTATTGTAGACAGACAGAGGCCACTCAGCTAATTACGTGGGTTGTTAAGATAATTTGGTTCTCCTAAATTAATTGAGGCAAAGGGTTTGAACATATGGAATACTTACGCAAACATGTCTTTTCCATTTTCTTTAATATAACTTGACAACAATTTAAGATTATCTGCTATGTTACTTTCCTCAACTTTCCCTCTATTTCGGTTTTTGTTCCCCCTTGCCTTTGTCTTGACACTTTTTCCCATGTGTGGCACTTCCCCTTATCATTCCATCTGTTTACACTGGGCACTGACGTTTTGAGTATTTTCAGAATTAGGCAGTTTAGCCCCTGTTACCTTTGTAAAAAATGTTCTTAAGATATTTTTATTTAACATGCATTGTAGGTAATTCCGACGAAGGACAGACTTGAAGGTCTTGAAGCTTTCAAAGAGAAGAGACCTCCACGTTACAAGGGAGAATAAGAGGAAGACCTACTAAGCAGTGCTGCCTTCTTTTGCTTTTCACTTATTCTGTGTCATTCATAAGGTATAATGAAAGCGATATAGACCTTCAAAGCTGTTAGCATTTGAGTTGCTTGTGATACATGTAAATGAAAACATATGTAAGGCCGGGAAAACACTTTGGAGTAGAAAGAAAGACATCATAATGGAATATACACAGTGTTTGGGACAGTTACTTTTAAGAAGTAATCCATTATAATTGTTTGCTTTTGCAAGGGAGTACTTTTTAAAATTAACATGATGTTGGAGGAAATGATTTTTGTCTTCACTTAGAATTATCCATGAAGTATGTGCATTGTTACTATATGAAGTAATACATTATCTGAATCTGAATATCTTAAAAGCAATTTCCCCCAACTTTTTATTCATTTTAAAAGTATGTTCTTACAAAAGTAACTTCTATACTTTTAAATTTAAATTAAATTAAAGTAATTTGCACAAGATTAATATAAGCTAGTATGTTATGGAACATTGTGAACAGCTGCATTTAGATCTGTATGCTATAGGTTGTCCTAACTACAATATCTGTGGCTACTGTATGTCATTCAACTGTTACACATACCGTGTTTCAATCAATTAAGCATTCTAAGGGAATGTAAGCAATTTCTTTTTAACAAAAGTAATAGAGAAATGCATCACATGCATTTCGCAGAAACAAACTTAAATTATTTTTAATACATTTTGGATTTTGAAAATGTTGCTTTTGAATTACATTAAAATCACTGCAAGGGATGAAATGTTAATCAATGTATTTTGTTTTGTTTAAAAGGTTAAGAATGTCAGTGTCATTACTGCCTTGCAAAATGTAGTTGTTATAATAAAGCATATTGATTAATTTTCTCTGTTAGGAATGCTGTTCGTTATATAATGACCGCGCTGCAGTTATATAAACTAATTTAAAAGTACATCTGGTTTCATGGATTACTAATATTGTTTAAAAATACCTTACTGTAAAAAGGCATTGGTTTACGAAGGAGTGTAAAAGGAATACATGATCAGTACTGTACTGTATTTAATAACATACTTAGACACAAATACTAGTATATGAAATAAATATAATTTCATGCTGCATTTAAGGTCTCTTGAGTGTCTGAATACCTCTAATATTATTATCTCTTCCTGTCCAACTAGCAATCTAAGATACCAAAACATTCCTTGAATAAAATAAGCTTGGATCCTTAGAGATATACAGAGAAAATGTCTAATTACTGCTATATTAATTTTGTCAAACTATATTCATATGAAATTGAATGAGCTTTGCTTCAAGAAATGTAAAAAAAACTAAAATGCAATAAACATACTAACTGAAAGTAATGATATTGTTTATTTTTCTTCAAACTCAAATATTTTAGTTGATAGCCTATTGTGTAATTGAAATCTACAATTCGCATAAAAAACAATTCACATATAGTGTGTACATTTACATGTGAAAAAGACATTTAAAAATTGCATCGAGACTTTTATTCATGATTTTAAACATTGTGCGTCCTAGTTTCTGATGGGTATAATACCCTCATATGCCCGCAATGTGGTAACATGGTGCTCACAACCTACTTTAAATGTGTCGTCTTCACAAGTTATTACCACACATTATTTTTATTGATGTTTATTCCATGAATGTTGTTAAACACTGGTTACAGTTAATAAACTGCAGATATATAGTACTGTCTATAAATCCTGACATTTTTTTACTTCGACAATATAGTCAATGCTTTGAATTTAGAGTTGAAAAAAGAATCTGAACAATTGAAAGCCATTGTCAATGGATTATCTCACTGCAACCTGCATTTTTTAAATATACGATTCTACACTTACTGTAATAATTTGCTTCACTTTCTCTGATTGACAACTTAAAAGGATTTGGCACACAGTAAATGTTGAAATCTTAGGTATATTCCATAACTAAGATGCAGTGGTATTTAATTTGCTTTAACATAATCTAAGATTGTTAGGAAATAAATGAAATTACGTGGAAGTCATACACAACATACTTAATATTTTTCAAATAAGCTTTACTTTTCCTACCATCCTTCATTATTTAAAATTGACATATCTTTAATTCCTTGGAGACTTCCAGGGTCATTTGTCACTGTCTTAACAGTATGCAGAATGTGTCAGATCCATTCTAACTGATTGAGACAGCAATTATAATATGGGAAAACATAACATGTTTAGGTGGCATACAATGATAGTTATTTAGCACAGGTTTCACTGAGCAGTCTAGTAGTTTGAATTGTGGCTTTCATTTACTTGCCTTCATAGCCTGATTAGGTACAGTAAACAAAGAGTTCCAATTATTTTTATGTGTACACAGTTTTGTACACTGAGGATGTTAATTATAGTTTTGCCTGAGCAATTCTATTGCTCAGATGGGAAAGACAGGAACAGTTAAGCTTTTGATCGATATGAATATTTTTATCCAGACAGCATTGTTTGTGATATTATTACTACGAACAGTTCTCTTGAAAATGTCCCCCTTTTTAGTTTTATCTTTATGGGAATTCAGTGTTATGGTTGTAAGGGTCTCTAGCAGCCCATTAGTATCAACACAGCCCAAATCATTTCCAGAGGAGTAATTGTGCTGCAGGTACAGTAGCTCATCCACTAATGTTTCAGTGGAGTTCACTTTCACTGCTAGGTTAGTAAATGGATTTAATGGATTTAAAATGTAATTATTAATTTAAAAGCAGGTAGATTTAGTCTGTATGTCTAGGATTGTTATCAAATTCAGAAAAGAGATGTATTACCTGCTTGATGGTATTACATGGCTTTGGAGATCCAATTTCAGATACAGTATATGATATACTGTACATTACATGAGACAGAGTAAAGTCAAGTTATTCTATAACCTTTGACTTTACATGTTATTAATGCATGCAATTTTATGATGATAAACATGAATAATCAAATATGATATGTGTTATATAGGGACCACTACATACTGTACGTAATCAACCTATTACCTATTGAGTTCACCATTAACAGATAGGAAATGTCATAGACTGGCAGGTGGTGTAGCAGATAGATGGCATTAATGTTCATTCTTTCAATCTGTAAAACAACTGCCAGATCAGCAAACTTCAGTGATAGCTGATATTAGGGGGATTAGCGATCTCTACTTTTACTTAAAACAATAGTTTGAACCAAATGAAATAGTCATTGCAAGACACCGATTGCAGATTAAAGCAGAAAGTCTTCAGTGACTCTTGTCAAATGACGATGAGACTTAAGAACTTTAAAGAACCTGCACAAAGAAGAAGGCATGATGTAAGGTCTCAGCACGTGTACTTGTCATGGTGCAGCAGGTTGTACAACATCCTTTCCGGTGCTGTTTCATTATGATTTGTGGAACTAACAAATGTTGAAAGGAACATTTGTTTTCCAAGACACTTGAGCCCTGCAAACCTTGCATTCCCCACCTGCTGCCTCTTCAACTTTTTCTGTCCAGGCTCAGCTGTCACCTCTGTAGATGTGCTTGGCCAGCCCAACCTTTGACAGTCAGGAACACATACTGCCCTTCAGGTGTCTGTATTAAACAGTGAACATCTGATGGGTGACAGGGACCCAGAAGTAAGTTTCTTTGCCACAGAGGTCTCTGAGTGCTGAGGCTGAAGCACTTCCTTCCTGACAGTTGCGTTTTCCTTGGTCTACAGTATCAGGACATTAGTAAATGCCAACCAATTTAGCAGTTTGTGATTGTATTTCTAGTAATGGGTAAGAATGGAGCAAGAAAAACAGATGGAAGTGTTTGTGTATATTACTAAAGAGAGGGTTTTACTTTTTGAGCCCCATTTAGTTAAGTAAGTTATTTTTTAACATGCTGGTAATCATTGACCTTATTTTCTCAAACTTTTCCTGTACATTATGTTGCTCATAAAATATTATTGAAGTAGTTAATTACTTAGACCTCACACAGAAAAAGATGCAGCATTAAAACTCTGATAAGCGCTCTTACACACAACACTATGACAGTTCTCACCAGTTATCTTGTCTAACAGATAATTACATTACAGTAATTTATGCTTCACCTAGTTACTCCTGAATGGCAGAATCTGGTCTTATGAAAGTTCAGAATGCAAGTTAATTTTTTGTGATTATCCGTCATTGTCAAGGATGTGGAACCGAAGGAGCTGAGCTCACAAACTTTTAAACTTTTAAACAATTAAAAATTTTTGCTCACTTATTCAATCCTCCCCCCCCCCATTTTTTTAAAACAGAAAATGAAAAGCAATAGTTAAATCATTTTGAAAACCATTTAAATCAAGTATTTAATTACATTATCTTACACATTTACTCTGTCAAAACCATGGAAATAATTTATTTTAATTTATTGCAAATTGAACAGCTAATATAAAACTGCATTTTAACATATACTGTAGAACAGTTTATGTCTCACTATTTAATTTCATTTCCAGGCTAATAGAATTGGATGCTACATCTTTGGGAAATCAGATGATTTATGTCTTGTTCAAACTGGTGTCAGACCCTATCCTATAATTCTACAGAATGCTTAACCTTTTTGGTCAAATGTTAAATGATTGCCAGTACATCTTCTGCTCCCCACACTGTATGGGAGGCATGTGATGGACTGTAAAGAAATACCAGATGAAAAGTGAACTAAATTAATTGATCTGGATAAAAAAAATAGCAAACCTTGTAGATAGACATACTGTATTGTCATACAGAAACCTTACGTCTCTCTCAATTAAAGGTTTCTTATATTTTTTATTCTAATTTTATCTATTTTTAATTGTCCTAATACTTTTTTCAGTTTATTTTTTGTATTAAAGATGACCTGTTAGTTCTTCTGTCAAAAAATATCTAGTACATAATGCTAATAAAATATTAAGTATTAAACAAATGTTAAATGTTTTCTTTTTTAATGTATCTTACTAAACATTTACATGCACACAAACTTTACTGTTTCCAGTCAAATAATGTTACTTCTGTGATCAGTCTTTACAGTGTGATGAAGCTTACAATTTTTTTTGTCTTGTGTTTACAGTAATTTAAAATTTAATTTAATAGTGATTTGAATCCGTCCTTGTTTCATTGCAGTTATGAGGGCTATATATTGACATACAAGTGGACATCAAGAGCACAAGATCACAGTTGTAGATAATTAAAGATTATAGATAAGGGGGATTGTTTTTTTAACACTGTAAATAGTTTTTAAGCAAGCAAAGTCTAGCTATACTACTTTCTATGATAAAGAATTCTGCAAATGAATGCAAACCAAGTGTGATTTCAAGGAATCTCAGTCTCCACTTACAAAATAGATATTTTGACAGCAATTAGACACCTCAGCAAAAGACATTGTGCCTCAATATTGTTTGTAACTTGGGAATCATCATTGAAAAGGAGCAGTCAGGAGTTCAGTCATGACAGCACCTTAGTCAGGTAAATCCAAAAGCACACCCATCAAAGAACAATCCCAGTTGAATCCTACTGTACATGCATTCACCTGATCTGTTTATGATCAGACCACAGAATGGGGGAGGCTGGTACCTTCTGCGAATGGTATGATAATGAATGGACCATGTGGTACCTGGTTGGTGGTTCCTACTGAGCCATTCAATCGCCGGGTATGTGCAGCAGGCACTGCCCAACCCATTCCAATCTACCACCCTCACACTGCTGATGCACATTCAATGGTCTAATTAAAAACACGTCAGCTGATGCATCTATGATGGAGAGGATTGCAAGCAATCTTCATCTGTTACCATTTTTATAGTGTTGTGCACATTGTATGCGCAGGGATAAATAGGATGCGCTGGTGTGCTGTGGCAGTGGGGTGGCTACAGTGATTAGTATTGCTGCTTTGTAGTGCTGGGGCTCTGGGTTCAATTCCAGATCTGGGGTGCTATCTCTGTGCAGTTTGTATGTGCTCGCCATATCCACATCGGTGTCTTCCAGATTCTCCAGTTTCCTCCCACAGTCCAAAGACATATCGGTGGGTTAATTGGCTTCTTTGAAAACTGGCCTTAGTGTGAGTATTTGTGTGTCTGTGTGTGTGGGGTGGCGTTCTTTCCAGGGTGTGTCCTGTCTGGTGCCTGTTGCTTGCCAGGATAGGCTTCAGCTCCCCTGCAACTCTGTATTGGATAAAGTGATCATAAAACTGGTGGCTGGTGTGGAGTTTTCAGAACTATCCTCCTAACAGCATCACAGTCAGGACTACCATCATGCTAATAAGTTCACAATACAATGTAAATGTAACTGGGAGAAAATGCTGTTTTTATAAATGTCATATTAAAAAAAACTCATATAATGAAGAGAACAGACTTTCCTGTGGTGACTTAATTTATAAAAATCCC